GGGGTCCCCAGGTCGGTGACGGTGATGGTGATGTTGTACTCGGCCTGACTCTCTCTGTCGAGGGGGCTCTCTGTTACTAGGGTGTAGAAATTCTTGAAAGTCGGTTTCAGAAGGAACGGCAGATCATCTGGAATAGAGCAAATCATCTTCCCATTGTCTCCAGAGTCTCGATCCCGAATTCTGAAGACAGAGACTACAGTCTCAGGCGCATTTTCTGGGACGGAGTTGGTGAGTGAAGTTATGGTAAGTTCAGGGACGTTGTCGTTCACATCCACCACGTATATGACTACAGAGCCTTTTCCAGAAAGGCCTCCTCCGTCTATAGCCTCAATTTCCACGTGGTAAGATTTAATTTGTTCAAAATCCAGTTTCTTTGTCAATCGGATTTCTCCTGTGACTTCATTTATTGAGAAAGTTTGTTTAATTTCATCTGATGCTTGGAACAAGCTATATGAAACACTCCCGAAGTTTCCAGCATCTATATCTCTAGCTGAGACTCTAAGTACTGGGGAGCCTAGGGGGCTGTTTTCCAAGACCTGCACCTCATATGGGGTGTGCACAAACTCTGGAGCATTGTCATTGACGTCTATGATCAGGATTTGCACTGTCATGGTGCCAGACTTAGGCGGAGACCCACCATCCAGTGCTGTGAGGGTTAAGCTGAACTCAGACTGCTCCTCTCGATCCAGCGCTTTGTCCTGCACCAAATCTGCGTATTTCTTGCCCTCACTATGAATTCGAGTTACTACATGAAAATGAGAATTGGGGCTGAGAGTGTATTTTTGAAGACCATTGCTGCCCACATCCAAATCCTGAGCTAGTTTCAACGGAAACAGAGTCCCTGGCTGGCTGTTTTCCGGTATTTTCAAGAGCATCTCCCTAGTCGGGAACACTGGGGAGTGGTCATTTACGTCCTGGATTGATAACTCTCCTTCAAAAAATTGAACCGGCGTTTCGAGGAACACTTGGAAAAGCAGTACACACGGTTCAACAGGGCCACATAGCTCTTCCCGGTCTAGTTTCTCCCTCAAAAGCAAATCTCCGGTCTGACGATCCAGCTGCAAGCGCTGCTTGTCATCATCAGACACCACCCGGGCCGATCGGGCGGCCAGTTCCCCAATTCCCAGGCCCAGATCTTTGGTCAGATGGGCTACAAAGGAGCCACTCTCTGTTTCTTCCATCACAGAATAACGCATAGGCTCGGCGCGAGCCTGAGACAAGAACACCATCAAAATAAAGGCCATCACTTGCCTGTTTGGTTGAATTCTCTCTAGCGTCTCCATGTTGGAGACCCGGTGCTTATATCCAATCCCTCCTAGGAACCACGAAGTCTGGAGATATAAAATTCTGACTTCTTGTTTGGTGGAGTCCACAAAGTTGCCTTTAATCTTAAATTCGTTTAGTATATTGCATCCCAAACTCGCTGGTAACCCAGCAGGGCTGGCAAAGCCTCTCGCGTGTATTTTTTATTCCTTTTTGTAACAAAGGAATACCGGAGCTTTTTAGGGCTCTTTATTCACAATCTTAGCCTGCAGCGCCACCCCGCGTCTTGACTGAGGAATTAATATTCTCCAGTCAAAGCATATTTTGGAAGTGCCCAAATGTAAGTTATTTTTTAAAGTGTATAGAACTTTTACAAACTTTTTTATTCCATTAAATTTCATAATTTGTAAGGTTACACATTATATTGAATGAGCTAGAGTAATTGTGAGCACAAAACAAGAGGATACCCTGGTCTCCCCACACTCTAATCAGTGAACTTCAAAGAACTCTACTTCCCCTTTATGTAATCTAACCAGGGGAGATAAATTCTTATAAAATTATAATTCATAATAGTTAATCCTTGCTTATTTCCAAGTATGTGGGGAATTTATGATCATGCAAAAGTTTCTTAGGATATATGGTGTCACGTGGTCTTAGGGAGACCTTATTTTTCAAAGGAAAGTTTCTATGTCCCTATGCTGCTGTAAAAATAGTATAGTTGAAGGAAGAGGCATCTCGCTTTGTTGAGTCCTTTCACAGTGTGAACCCACATTAAATTTAAAAGGAAATCAAACAGTATTAGAGTCAGAATCTTAGGCCTAGATAAGAAATGAAAGGGGTTTTACAGATAAGGAAACTGAAGCTCAGAGGGTGACAGGACTTGATTACTTGACTATTATCAGAATAATATAAAGACAAAATCAAGTGAGTAAAAAAATTAAAAAATTTTTGTTATGGTAAAGGCTTTAAGCTTAAACCTATTTAGCTAGATAGATATCTCTATTCTATGATTAGTTTACTTCTTACTAAATTCCTCCATTGTATCCCAGATACCATATTCTTCCACCAGCTGATTTGGGCCAAATTAAGAAGCCCTGATTTAAAGCATTTTAATCTTTGAGCAAGGGGTGCCTCAGGCCTTGTCTATTCACATATCATAAAGAGGAGAGACTTATTTATAAAAAGGATTCCAGCACAGTGTGCTGCTCTTGTGAGTTCCCTGATATAGTAAGTTAACTGAGATACACTTAAGCAGTTTATCGGTTACAATTAGTATATTGAGTGGAGTACCATTTATCTTGGCACATACGGGGTTTTCCCTCCATAAATATCTTGCCATTTTATTTAATTACTTAATTAACTCAATAAATTAGAATTCATGTTGAATGAATTATTTTAAAAGCATGTTAATACTTAAGTTCTGAGAGTGACAGAAAGTATTAGAAAAAATGCTTGAAAGGAGCTTAGATTATGGTACTCATTCAAAAATGTCAAATGAATAAATAATCCATTCTAATGTTCATGTTTCCATTTATATAAGATTATTCCCAGATCATATGTTCAGGTATAAACATGTCTGAAAATAAACATAGAATTCTCAGAGAGTATGACACATGCCAAGTACTATGCAATTAAATTTACTTTGATTCTAGTTCTAGCAATGGCAATAGTAACATTAATACACTTTAGAATTCTTTTAATTTAAGGCAAATCAGAGGAGAATACAATATATATGACTAGTAAATGAAATTTTAAAATGATAAAAGAAAAAGGCAAAAATATTATTTTAGATATAAATGGAAAACAAATACCCTAGACAAAACAAAGAGCAACTGTTTACAATATAATAACCAAGCTCTAGTTAGATTCAAGTTAAAGCGTTCAGAACAAAACTCAAGCTATATTTCGTTTACTTATTCCTGTACATTGACATTGAAATAGTGTTGCATATCAGCTCTTTTCAGTTCTTTGTCAATCCAAAGCAAATGAAATTTAGATAATACTAACACATAGGTGCAACTACATGCTAGATAATTATTTTAAGCATTTTCACATATTAATTCATTTTATCCCCCAACAATCCTACGTGGTGCACACTCTTATTAGCCACATTTTATAGATGAAGAAATTGAGGCATAGAGAGTTTAAATCACCAGCCCATAATCACTCACCATATGAAATGGCAGAGCTATGATTCACACTATTACAGTTTGGCTCCAGAATCTATTCTCTTATCCACATAAGTGGAACTGGAAAAGTGCTAATTTTTAGATAATTTAGATAATTTTTAGATAATTTAGATTTTTTAAGATAATTTAGATCCAAACTTCAGCCTTGTCTTGGTTCCAGAGATATCACAGGTGATATATTTGTGTTCAAGTTACTTGCAATTAATATAAGAATCTTTAAAATGGTCTGTCTTCCTTTAGCAATAGATGCCAGCAAAGAGAGGTGCTTACAAAACTTAGAAAGTAGAAGGGAAACTAGTAGTGTTTTGTTGAGATCATTAATTGGTAAAAAAAATAAATAAATAAATAAGAGTGACATATACTATGAATTCCCTGTAGCCTTGATTATTGGGGAAAAAGATATCTATGTATGGATCTTTTGAAATGTTATTAGGGTATAAAGTTAAAAGCAATAAAGACAACCTAAGAGGGAAGTCTTACCTCATGAATTATTCCCCCCCCCAAAACTGCTAAACTTAGAAAAAAATCTATTATGTTTTATCTGCATGGAGGAGGAGTTAATGATATCAAGGATAATCACCTGAAAAACCATTCTATTCCAATCAGGAGAGTTGCATTATTCATTCTGAAGGATTCATATTACAACAATTTATACAATTTTCACCAGATCTGAAACACGACATTTAAAGTATTCTTTCCATGTTGAATATACAAAGAGAAAGAAGTTTTGATTCCTCCCTGGTAGAGTACAGAACTTTAAATTTCCTTGAAGAAAAGATAAAAATCATTTTAAAGGAATTTGAATACAAGTAGGCCAAAAGTTCAAAATACAAAATCCATACTCCGAAGTTTGGAATACTCTCACTTGTTTAGAAAAAAGTGAGGGAATCTTTTTTTAAAACTTCATGATGATTTGAGAGCTGTTTTGTTCTTAACATAAAGGGGGAGAGTAGAAGGAAATTAAACATTAATGGTTGAGAGAAAGATTAATTGGTAAAATAGGAATTAGATTTTAACTAGTATTTTTAGTTCCTTAAATCACACTTCAGTAGTATTATCTCAAAATATTAAGCTAACACTAATAATTGGTTACTATTGATGGTTTATGGATTTTGTTAGAAATTCTTATACATTTTGAGATCTTCTACTAGATAGATAAATTAGGTACCTCAGGCTGGCCATTTGAGTGAAATAACTATAAAGCAAACAATACTGCTCACTGGTAAAAGCAAACTAAAATTTAATATCAGTTAAAATTCCAAACTAAACATTGAATATATTTTTTTAAATCACATTTATTGGGGCACGTGGGTGGCTCAGTCGGTAAGTATCCAACTCTTGATTTTGACTCCAGTCCTGATCTCAGTGTCTGAGATTGAGCCCAGCACTGGGCTCCATACTGAGTGTGCAGCCTGCTTAAGATTCTCTCCACCCCCTTCCTCTCTCCCTCTGACCTTCCCCCGTCACAGTCACATGCTCATGCTCGCTCTCAAATAAATAAATAAGCAAATAAAATCACATTTATTGAAATGTAATTTTTGAAAGGAGATAATCTGAATAATGAGAATTTGGCTTGAGAAATTTATGGAATCTAAGATAATTTCTGTTAATTCCTTTTAGTATGTACTAAATAAAAAGATAGTATTTGTATGTTTAATGTATCAAAATGTTCAAAATCTAATGTCTAACTTATAATACATCTTTCAACTCAGGAAGTATGAGTCTTCTAACTCCGTTGTCCTTTTTCAAGATTGTTTTTGCTCTTCAGAGTCCCTTGCATTTCCATATGAATTTTAAGGTCAATTTACTGATTTCTGTAAAATAACAATAACAACAACAACAACAACAACAACAACAAAAAGCCTGCTGGGATTCTGATAAGGATTGCATTGAACCAGTAGACCAATTTGGGAGGCATCACCATCTTAACAATAGTGAGTCTTCCAATCCATGAACACTTTCCATTTACTTAGGTCTTCTTTAATTTTTTTCAGTGCTGTTTTGTTGTGCTCAGTGTAAAGTCTTGCACTTATTTTGTTAATTGTTTTCCTAAGCATTTTATTCTTTTTGATGCTATGATAAATGGAATTGTTTTCATTTCAATTTTGCATTTGCCAATGCTAATGTATAGAAATATAACTGATTTGTAAAGATTATTTATGTATTTAGAGAGAGTGTGCATAAGCAGGGATAGGGGTGGGAGATGGGTGGAAGGAGAGAAAGAGAGGAAGCAGACTCTCCACTGAGTCAGGAGCCCTATGTGGGCTGTATCCCAGGACCCTGAGATCACCACCTGAGCTGAAATCAAGAGTTGAATGTCAACCAACTGAGACACCCAGGCACCCTCCTTAGGATTTTCTTTATGCAAGATGTTGTCATCCACAAATATACTTTAACTTCTTCATTTCCAATCTGAATTATTTTCTTTTTCTCACCCTGGCTACATTTTTAGTACAATATTAAATAAAGCAGTGAGGAGACATCTTTGTTTGTTTTTCATCTTAGGGACAAAGTCTTTCACCATTCAATATGAAGTTAGCTGTGGTTTTTTATAGTTATCCTTTATCAGGCTGAGGATATTCCTTATTCTTCCTAGTTTATTGAGTGTTCTTATCATGAAAAGGTATTGGAATTTGTAAAGTGCTTTTTCTGTGTAAATTGAGATGGTAATAGGGTGTATTGCTCTAAACCAACCTTTAATTTCTGGGATGAATTCTACCTGGTCATGGTATAATCTTTTTTTTAAGTTTTTTTTAAAGATTTTATTTATTTGATTGAGGGATACAGGGAGATAGTGAGCACAAGCAGAGGGAACAGCAGGCAGTGAGAGAAGCAGGCGTCCCGCTGAGCAGGGAGCCCGATGTGGGACTTGATCCCAGGACCCTGGGATCATAACTTTAGCCAAAGGCAGATACTTAACCAACTGAGTCACCCAGCTGTCCCTGTATAATCCTTTTTATATGTTGCTGTAGTTAGTTTACTGATATTTTGTTGAGAATTTTTGCATCTGTATTCTTAAGGGATATGTTATTTAGTTTTCTTTTCTTGTATTGTCTTTATCTGGTTCTAGCATCATGACAATACGGGCCCCACAGAATGAACTGGGAAATGGTCCCTGCTCCTCTTTTT